AGCAGGTTGAGGCTGCAGTGGCCAGGAGCATGCCACTGCACTCCAGTCTGGGCAATGGAGTAAGACTCCAACTCAAAAAAAAAAGTCAGGATAGTCTTCCTTTTATCTAAATCTAAGTCAATTATGCTTCAGTTTCAGACCATCTCACTGACTTCTGTTCTCAGAGGAGTGGGAGAATTGAAGAAAAGGGTCAAAATTTAGAGGCTGGTCTCATGATTTAAGCCCAACGTTTAAGAATCAAGGAGCAAGCTGGGTACGGTGTCTCAAGCCTGTAATCCCAGCACTTTGGGAAGCTGAGGCGAGAGGACTGCCTGAGGCTTGAGCAACTTGGTGATAACTCGTCTCTACAATAAAAAATAAGCTGGGTATGGTAGCACGTGCCTGTAGTTTCAGCTACTTGAAGGCTGAGGTAGAAGGATCGCCTGAGCCCAGAAGGTCTAGGCTGCCGTGGCCATGAGTGTGCCACTGCACTCCAGCCTGGGCAACAGAGTGAAAGCCTAACTGAAAGAAAAAAAAAAGAAGCAAGAAGCTCAGGGTATTCTGATGACCAGAAAATCCTCCACGAGAGTTCCATGAAGCCCTAGAAGAATGCTAAATTAAAATTTTTTTTCCTTTACATTCAACTTGGGCCTGCTATAAGTAGGGTAAATAAAAGGCTCAAAACACTCTTCCCCCCATTAAAATAAAAGACTTTTAAAAAAAGATATTTATGGCCGGGCATGGTAGCTCAAGCCTATAATCCCAGCACTTTGGGAGGCCCAGGTAAGAAGATTGCCTGAGTCCACAGGTTCAAGACCAGCCTGGACAACTTGGCAATACCTCATCTCTACAGTTTTAAAAAAAAAAAATTAGCTGGGCATGGTGGCACATGCCTGTAGGTCCAGCTACTTGGAAGGCTGAAGTTGAAGGATCACCTGAGCCCAGCAGGTCCAGACTGTGGTGGCCGTGAGCGTGCCACTGCACTACAGCCTAGCCAACAGAATAAGACTCCAACTCATAAAAAAAAAAAAAAAGAAGACATTTACAAGTAACATTGCAGGTATTTCATAATACCTAACAACATGAAAAGTTATGACAATTTACAATAGCTTTTAGGAGAGTCTATAATACTTAGTAATTCACAACAGATTCAAACAGTCTTTGGGGAGTTATCTTATAAGTATGAAAAACTAGAGGAAAAATGGCTTTCTGAAACATTTTGCACTATATTTGCCCTTATATCTATCAAACCTGAGGAGAAGACAATGCAGGCAAGAATCTTTCCTTTTATCAAAATACTAGAAAGTGTAAACCAAGTATACAGTAATTCTCTGGCCTTATTGCTTAACATTATTAAAACCAGAACAAATTCCAGCTTCTTTATTACTGAGAAGAGCACTAAATCTTAGTCATCACCCCTTATCCTGGCTATATTACTGCTCTAGGAAGGTCATCCTGGCCATGAATGTCTCTACAGACAAAGACAATTGTTAAATGCCGTCATACACTTTCCAGAAGGGAATGAGAACACGAGACAGGAGAATGAGGATAAAAGAATGACAGGAACAAACACACATGTTACCTGTTTGCAATTCCCTCCTCCAAGAGTTGGATTACTTGCTTATAGTTGGTAACTACACGTTGAGATAAACCTATCAGATTTGTGGGAGGGAAAAAAAATTAAATAAAATTTTTTGCAAAGTTTAACCTTTTCCTGTAGACCTTTAACTTTGATCATTTTATCATTCCTATTTTATATAATTTGATAGGTTAGAATGAAGGAATTTGGCTAAATTCATTCTGACAATAAATCAAGAAATATTTTTTGGAAGCCTACTCTCAGATGCTGTGATACGCTCTAGGAACATAGGTCTCTGCCCTCACGTAGATTATGGTCTACAACTCATATAGTACGTTCACAACAACTATAACAACAACTACTATCCTTTACAATTCTGCTATATAGGTTATAAAAATATTCTCCACCTCATTTACCCCTCACAAAATTCCTTAGGTAGGCAGTAACTGTTTTCCCCACAAGGTGGCAGACTTAGTATGGCACACAAAACATACGGTGTAGCTGGACCTATCCCGCCACAGTTTACAATCATGAGAAGTTACACTATATAAGACAGCATAGCCAAATGCCACAGCAGGAGAGAGAACAAATGCTAAGGGCATCAGAGAAGTAGTCAGACCAGGTTCAACAGAAGAAGTGAGACTCACTGTAGAACAGTGAGACTTTAGATAGGTGAAGAGGAACATAAGGGCATGAAAGCAAATCTTCAAGGCAGGTCTTGACAGCTGTTCTACAAAATCTCTATATTAGAGACTAAAAAACAAAGTAACTTCATGAGTTTATTGCTAAACTCAATTACAACCAAAATTAACAAAATAATCTGAACAATGGCTGGATTTTTTTTTTTTTAATGATTGGGAGGCTAAGGCAGGAGGACTGCTTGAGGCCAGAATTTCAAGATCAGCCTGGGCAACATAATAACACTCCTTCTCTACAAAAAGAAAAAAACAGCCTGACGTGGTGGTGCATGCCTGTACTGCCAGCTACTCAGGATGCTGAGCCCAGGAGTTAGAGGCTGCAGCGAGCCATGATCACATCATTACACTCTGGCCTGGGTAACAGACAGATCCTGACTCAAAAAAAAAAAAAAAAAGTTTTAGTGTTTTTTTAAAACCTTGTGTATTTATGGTTTTTTTTGTTTTTGTTTTTGTTTTTTTAGTTGGAGTCTCACTTCGTTGCCCAGACTGGAATGCAGTGGCTTGCTCATGGTCACCCAGCGTTGATCTGCTGGGCTCCGGCAATCCTTCCACCTCAGCCTTCCAAGTAGCCAGAACTACAGGTGTGCATTACCACGTCTGACTAATTTTTTGATCTATTGGAGAGACAAGGTCTCTCCAAGTTGCCGGAGCTGGTCTTGAACCCACAGGCTCAGGCAATCTACTCGGCTCGGTCTCCCAAAGTACTGGGATTGCAGGCTGAGCCACTGAGCCTGGCAAGTTAAGGTTTTTTTTAATTTAAAAAAATAAAGGCCGGGCTCGGTGGCTCAGCCTGTAATCCCAGCACTTTGGGAGGCCAAGGTGAGTGGATTACCTGAGGCCACGGGTTCGAGACCTGCCTGGGCAACTTGATGAGACCTCATCTCTACAACAAATCAAAAAAATTAGCTGGGCGTGGTAGTGCGTGCCTGTAGTTCCAGCTACTTGGAAGGCTGAGGCGGAAGGATCGCCAGAGCCCAGCAGGTCGAGGCTGTGGTGGTCGGAAGCGGCCACT